CTACCTGGGAAAGGCACTTATACTCGCTGTCGTCTCCTCTATCGTATGGACCGAGCGTGCGTGTCGCAGATACCTCCTCAGCTTCGCCGGTCACGTGGCCCTCCCCCACTTATTTTTCCATGATTGGTGAGAGTGCGTCACGCGTATTCTTCCGCCCAATCGTGGCGTCATTGATGACGGTTTGTGTCCTGCCAAATTCCATTGTGTCCCGCTTTCAAATCGGCTCATTCATAATAATATCAAGCGTGTTCAAATTGACTATTATTATTATTGTTTATTTCATTTTTTCATTTCATTGGTACATTTAAATGGATTATTGTACAGATTTACACAATCAAAGCACAATACATCTATTTTTAAAAGAATTCATAGTTCATCATTTTCGGACTATCCTTGTTGTTGAGATAATTACTGCTTTCTGCATACGTTTGTACATGCCTTCATTCAAACCTAGCTGCTTGAGATTCCGCATCAGACACTTAGGGATGACTCCGTTGTTTGAAACAATTATCGGGACGAAGTTGACTCTTTCCATATTCCACTCTTTCTTAACGGGTTCAACAAGACTTGCATATTTACTCATTTTCTCAGAGTATTGTATTATTATTATTATTATTATTATTATTATTATTATTATTATTATTATTAGCCTACATCCCCTATAGGGCAAGGGACCTTTAGCAGGGTTACATAATGTTGATATTTGTACAATTCCTCTAGTAAGTCCTCAGAATTATCAAAACAATATAAAGCAAAAAAATAGAAGCTACAAGAAACTATTTAATGTTTCATTAATTATTGAATCATTAAAATTTAAATGATATAGTATGAAAAATAAATATTTTAAAATAATGATATTTAGTGTCTTTTGAAAAATAGACATTAATTTCTTTTGCATGAATTCTTTAGCAGTATATGGTTTATATCTTCATAAGTTTCATGTTTCAGGCGTGTCGTGGCGACAGTCCTTCACTTGCAGTTGGTGTCAACACAACGAAAGTCACTACTGATAGCATTAAAATGCTGGATGAGAGTGCTGGTGCGACTTTCACAATTCCCAATGAAGCTGATATTCTCGTAGCGTACAGTACTTACGAAGGTGAGTGATCCTGAATGCATTTCTTGTCATTGTCAAGTATGTCTTTGTGGGAAATGGTTGTTAGAAAGTATATTGGGAATACAAATGGAAAATGGAAACAGGCAGGGTAAGAATTTTAATGATTTGATGAATGCTCTAAGTATGGCCTGTGGTGTATCAAATCTTTATGAATAAAATTGGAGTGTCTGCGATTTAAAAATAACTGCCTTTTCTAACTCTCATATGCCTATTTAAGTGATACAAAAACAATAAAATTGTTTTACGATTTTTGCTTGTTTGTCCGGAATAGTCTGGAACGGCTGATTCATTTTCTATGCTGTGTTCACTGTAAGGTAGAATGTTTTGTAGGGCATTACGTAGGCCACGGTTTTTTAAAATTATTTCTTTCTTAAATAAAAAGCACGCTTGTTTTTCACAAAAATGTTGTTTTATTCTAAACTAAATGATGTTTTGGTTATGTGATCTTCAAAACCAGACAAAAGTTCCTGCCTACATGATACGTCGTAAAATTAACCCCATTCTTACCTCTTAAAGCAAAATTTAAGTGAGCTCCTTCAGTTTTTTGAGAATATTTCGTAAACGGTGAGTAAATCGACCAAAGTAAATTAAACGTTTCTTAAAGGTCATAAAATGTCCTGCATACATTTCAATTCATTCCAAATCATTCAATTTAATTACGCTTTGAGTATTTGAAGGTCCAAATTGTTAGTGTAAATTTGCCGGGAGTATGCAACAATGCATCAGTTTACAGCTCCCATAGCAATTCTCATTGTAAAGGTGATCGTGGCAAACATGGCAGGTCGGGGCGGGGCGGGACAGGTGATGCAGAAGGGATTGGGTCGGAGCAGGGAAGAGAGGGACAAGTTGGGACTGGGCGGGTGGGAATGGGCAGAATAAGATCGGGCGGGGCGGGAAGGTACGGGAGCGACTGGCGGGATTGAAGGAGGGAGGTGCAAGTTCAGGGTAAGGCTGTAGAGAGAAAACATTCCTGTCCCTGTTCACCTGATGATTGTGATTAATAAATATCCGGACAATCCAGGGTACTTCCGCTTGTCACCAATTGACTTGAGAATTTAAGTATTAAAACAGAATCCGACGAAAATATATTTTTTAAATGATAATATTACATTAAGTACACAAAATGTAACTCATAGATAGCAAAAAACTCCAAGAGAATCCCCTACTTAATCGGAGTTTAAGTGCACTTTCCTTCCAACCATTGCTGCGCTGTTTTTGATCCCTTTGCTTCTATGTACAAAATATAGTATTTTTATCGCACGCCACATGCAGTATTTAATACTTTCGACGTTAAATAAATAAGGAAAACAATGTGTTTATTCTTGAGCGTAAAATAAAAAATAACTTCAATAAGTATTTATGTAAAATATATAATTTCAAACATTTTTAAGTTATTACTCCAATAATTTGATTGATACTCTTTTGAACAGTTTTAAACTACTGAATGAACATTATGCTATATTTCAGAAAAATGTTGGAAAGTTGAAATTCTTTGCAACATTCCCCAGTCAGAATTAATAAAATAGTAAAATGTAAAATGTCAACGTAAAAATTAAAAACAATCATCCAAATTCTCTGTCAGAATTCTCAATATTATTGGCACCGGCTCGACTAAACTCATCCAGGATAATGAATTATATCTTCATTCTCCTCCTCTTCTGTTTAAATAATGTCAAATATTAATCAAAAAACTCTGCCTTTTTGCATAAGGGTTATTTTCACTTTTTATTTGTTTCGCCTTTGTCGTCAAATTTGTGATATTTATTTTTAATTCCTTTTTTCCTAGTGCAAACATTTTGTCTGTGATAACGGAAGCAATTTTACTTTCTTACCTCACCTGGTTACGCCACTGCTAACGCAATGATTTGTGCCGTTTCGTAACTTTATGCAATTAAAGGGATTTAAATAAATGAATATTTTAACTTTATTATATTCCAACATTTATGCAGGTGAAAACTTATAATTACGTACGAAATATGCATCTTAATATATCTTATTTCAACACGATACCTGTAGAAATTTCAAACGAAAGGCGTTAAGCCATCTTTGATTCTCGCATTGTAATTTTTTTTAACTAATATCGAACGTTTTATTCCGTTCTCATAAATATTTCAAAGTACTATAATGTTTGCAAACACTACAATGTGAAATTGAGATGCATTTTACGACAGTACTATAACACGCTGCTATTCGACCAAGCGCGTCTCGCCAGCCCGGCCGTCAGAATTGTTGTACTCAAGTTGTATACAAACTTATTTAAAGCTTCCCTAGCCTATAAGCGGTTTCGATTTTTGGAAATAAAAAGGTGCGATGATTAACAGGATGTGACGAAATCGAAAAATTAAAAAAACATATAGGATCAATAGGAATTTATGATTCTGAAGCCAAAACGATAAAAACAAGAAGGTATTTATTACTTAAAACATGAAAAAGCACGGCAGGTGAGTTTTTTCATCTGGACTTACTCACTTAAATGGTATGCACATTTGGATCAAATTACTTTTTGGTCAGGTGGAGTAGAACTTTAATGGAGGTAATTCACTGAACACACAATACAAACTACTGGTTTTATGTCGAAATCAACAGTAATTGACACAAAATATATCATGGCTTTTTTGTTAATCGCAAGAGAAATACAATTATATTTCATCCCGAAATTATTATTTCTGCCTCTTAGTCCTGACGGAGAAATAGTTTTTCGAAAGGCAATAATTGAAAGAAATTTAAGAAATTGAGTTTAATAATTGAACCATTTAAATGTAGTAATAGAAGAAACCAAGTGCTCTTCATTAAGGTACTCGTCTAAGTTTCTAAAATTTTTATTGGCGGCATATATCTGAAAAAGAATCATGGATTTACTCGATTGGATTATGGTTTAACAGGGTCAAAAATATTTTCTTAAAAAATATATTAATTATTCCATTCGATTTGCCTGTTTTTCCTTTAAAAAAGCAACAGGATAATAGTTTGAAACAACATAACTCATTAACGTTAAACATTTTTTAATCGTTACCTTTTAATTTCCCGTACGTACGTATATATGAAGTAATGTACGTAGAACAGGGAAAGTTACGGTAATGCTGCAGAAAAATCGATTTCGGCGATTTCTATGCAAATACACGGTTTGGGGTAACCTTTGAATTCCAAAATAAGTTTTTTTTTTCCAAAAGCGCCGTCTGGTCCGTCTTGTGTCTGGAAACATACTAGCGCCTAAACGTGCGTAGGACTTTTTCCAAATTGAAGGAACTACTGTCCATCTGGCTCGAGTCGAAGCTTTGAGATTTTGAAATACGCTCTTTAAAATTACGGGGTACTTTACATAAAGCCCTCTGGACATTTTCCAAAGTTTCTCAAAAACGGCTCCATATTTTTTCTTTAAATTTATTGTAAGAATAGAGTAACTAATTGTAACTACACGTATAATAGTAGCTGTTAGCTAAAAAGTATATTGTTAACTCTGAAGTTTCGAAAATTTTAAAAGTATGATTGTTTTTCGGTGTCTCCCTACAATTACAAAATCAAATATAAAGATATTTTTTTCAAATAAAATTGGTTCTCCCTATCGAGTTATTTCATTAAAGCCATGTATATTTTTTGAAAATTTTAGTCATTTTTGCACAATATTGCGTGCAAAATGTGCAATTTAGAAAAAAATCACAAAAAACGGCTCTATTTTTTCTTTTTTTAAGTTAGGATAGTGCTAAATGCACTCTATAAGATCGCATAAACGCCTTATTACTCTTTTCTATTCAAAAATTACAAAAATGTATTTTTTTTTACTCGTCTCTCATGTTGTTAAGTCTGTTGTTGTCTCACATTAGCGGCAATTTCTTTACATTCATGTATTTATGAGTACATGAGATAAATTTTCCCGAAAATTCAACAGTTTTTCCTGAAAATGAGTACAAAATTCCCTGTTTTCAGAAACGCTCAAACTTCATTTTCTCAAAAACGGCTGGAAATCTTTTCTTTAAACTTTTCTAATATATTGTGCTAATTGTACTGTTTAAGATTGCAAAGAATTAATTTTGCTCTATTTATTTCACAAACTGGAAAAGTTAAAAACTTTATTTTGGGTAATAAATTATTAATAAGTGAGTACTAACTATTCGTATTAGTTTGAATGTTGTGTCCATTGTTTAAATTTGGTTGTGCCAGCTTGACAATCACGCCAGCACAACCGGATTTATTTCATAAACGGTAAGAGTAATAAATTTAATTTTCGCGTAATAAATTAGTAATAAATGAGTACTAAATATTCCATTTGATTTGGTGTGATTGTGCTCTAGTGGTTGTGTCAACTTGTCACATAATCCTAAATTGCAATTTCATTTGAAAAAAAAATTTGAACCGTTTTTAACAAAATGGGTCTTAAACGCTACTGTAAATACAAAATTTCAAGCATTTTTTACAGAATTTTTTTGAATTTTCGAAAATCCACATTAGAAGTCATTTTAAGCCATATACTCACATTGTTGTAACGGCGTGAGGGATGTTCTTAAAAACGGCTCCAAAATTTTTCAAAGAAAATTGCCATTTAGGACAAAGTTTTAGTGATTTTTAATGTTTTTAAATGAATATTTTCGTTATACCCATAGGAAAGCGATAAAAATTGAGAAAATTTCAAAAAAATGTACTTTGGATGGCGATAGTTGGCAGCTGGCCAGAGAATGTGGCCAAATACAATATTACATTTAAACAAATAACTATTTACAGAGGTATAAACATTTTTAGATTGAAAAACGAATCCTGGGGTGAAACAATAACATACCTTTTGTATTGTTCTTCGTATCTTCATATTTTCATAAGAAATTACAGATAGACTACATATCACACCTCAAATAGAAAAGTGACACAATTGCGAAATCGTCATTTTTCAGCTAAAAGTTGATAAGATGATACCAAGAGGTACTGCTACTATTCTGAAGTTGATTTTGAATTAGTTCAATTACTGTCCACGAGAAGGTGAATATTTAGTACAATCTATAACAAGTATTACAGAACTACGAAACCTAAAATTGCAATTTCGGAGAAATCAGAAATTCGCATTTGTGTCACTTTTCAATTGGAGGTGCGATATATTATTAAGTTACGACCATATCCATATAAAAAGACTATTATTGCCTGAAAAGTTGCCCTTTTTAGGACAAATTTTGAAAATAATTTGTGTCATGAAATTATTTTTGGAACGTCTCAGGTTTTGTATTCAATACTTCTTGACTGTGCATATGAGCATGGCTTGTGACGTAATTAATACATACAACATTCACAAAAAAGGGCAACTTTTCCAGGATTCATTTTTAATTTTTTTGGCTCTTCAAAAAAGTACGTGTAGCATGTTTCCATGTTCAAGGGATGGAAGACATTTTATTTGGGCCTTAAAGAAGCTAATAACCATGTGACGTAGTACATTCCAGCCAAACATATCAAGAATGTTTAGACTCATGATCCGTGCATGTTTATTTATGTCCAATACTACTATGCATACAGACTTTTACGCCACAATAAGAAACTATTTGCAGTAACATTTTACTATTATCCACTTTTACAGGACGTGTTGCATACCGTGATACAGACGATGGCACCTGGTACATCAGCGAGTTGTGCAAAGAAATGGATCAAAGCGCCAAGAGCGATGATCTTTTAACTATGTTGACGCGGGTTAATCGACAAGTAGCATTAACAAAGGAAAATTTCCAAGAAAAGCAGATGCCGAGTCTTCAGTCCACGCTCACACGCAAAATTTACTTCTTCACTGACGACCGTCATAAGCAGTCTATTTCGAATTCGTCACTTCAAGAAATTCATTCAAAACTGGACCGCTTATTGAATGCTTCGGAAAGCGGTTTAGCATCGCCTTCGTCATTGCCAATTTCTGATACTCTAGAGTCTGCGCGTAAATTACAAGGCAATGGTTGGGAATCGCTTCGGGGGTGCTCAGGGATCGCTGCGTCATCCGGATCCCTTCCTGTGGGTGAAAAATCTTTGAGGCATGCAAAAGCGCTCAACTTATTTCTAAAAGAGAGAGATGTGGAAGAAGACGTGCGTGAAAACGGCAAGACAATTCTCGCTCTTTTGTCTTATTGGGATGTCCTAGATGTTGAAACTAAAGCATATGCACATAAAAGATCTTTAACCTTTTTAAAGCAATATGCTCAAGATTGGCCTGTCTTGGAGATTATTGATTTTGATCACACATCACCGGGGCCACAACAGGATGGAGCATCAGGAACTAGATCCAGGAAATCATCTCGCAGCAGCTCTCACAGTTTGGCTGTCTCTAGTCAGCTACCAAGACCGCGACCTCCTTTCAAATAAACTTCCTGAAGAACTGCCTACACATCGCAAATTAATTAATTTGATTGATGAATGGGTTCTGCCCAATTTTTTTGTGCCTCTATAAAAACATCTCTGCCCTAGGAACAATCTAATGCATTAATATAGTTAATTAATAAACAGAAAGTAATTTACTGTATCGAATGACAGAGAAAGATAAATTTCTCTGAAATTCCTAAAAGAGAGTATTGTACATTAATTAAAAATTGTTTACATGCTTTTACTTCCATTTCTTGAGATATGTATTCTTTGTTTGGTTCAAACTGATATCTACAGTGGAATGTGCAACTCAGTTTAGACTTTTAAATTCACATAACATTCATGTATTTCTAAATTATTTGTATTCAAGATAGTTGAGCATGTATGATTTCTCATATTTTATTAAGAAACCAAAGAATTGGTGAGGTGAAATGTAAAAATTAAATGTTAGTTAATTAACTTTCTGTTTATTTTTAAGAATAGTTTTTGTCATTATTAATATAAGATTGAATTGAAGCTGAATGCCTCATAAATTGAAATAATAATATTGCTATTTAAAGGCAGCAATTGAAAGTTTTCCTATTTTGAAATGTTACTGTGTTTACAAGACTGATTACATTTTTGAGCACATTTATTGTATCATTTAAAAATATATGATTTGGTGCAGCTTCTCTCCTATATCTTTTGCTTTGTTCACCATGGATTTGTGTTAGTAAAATACAGTTATATCAAGGGTTTTACCTAGCTTATTTCTTTTCTGCTTCTTTACGTTGAAAGATTTGCTATTTTAATGTTCATCATTTACTACTTCTACTTCTTTGTGAAGTCAGAAGATATCAACATTAATATGTTTATGAAACAAATAATTGTATAAATAAATTATTTTTACATAAATAAATAATTTATAACAATATGAATAATGCAAAAATATTTAAATATAGAGCATTAAAACTTTAATCTATCACATAGACAATGTATCTTTTTAAATTAAAAATTAAAGTTTAAAAGTTATTTGTGTTGAATTAATTTGAATACTTCACAATATTTATTAACATTTCAGGGCTTTTCTGGACTACTATTGAAACTTAAAACAATAAAAAATCAAGATTTTAAAGTAAATCAGATTAAACATTTTTTTGTGTGGAATAATTCTTAATTTCTGACATTATACCAATTAACACTTGGCAGCAGATGCTGTACTATTTCATGAAAAAAAATCACCATTTACTTGTATGGAATAATGAGATCCAAAAATTCAGTTTTATAATATCCATTTTCATAAATTAAAAAGCCAAAAGACATAAACCAATTTTTGATATATCTTGAGTATCACTGATTAATGAGAAGCAAATGAAGTTAAAAGGAATTTAAAAGATGCTCTCCTGTACAAAACAAGTGTTTTGCATCTCAACAGAATTCTGGAAAAGTGATAATTTATTACTTGATACATTATTAAAACTGATGCATCAAAATTATGACTATAATTATGAATATAAAATATATAATTCAGGTTAAGCCATAATTTAGTTTTGATTCTGTAATCACAATGTACTATTTTCTCATATCACTAAAATTAGACACATTTATCTTCTAAATTATAGGTTTGCGTTTCTCACCAAAATTCTCCCTTAAATCAATTTCTTTCCATCGGCTGCACTCACAACTCAAAGAACTGAACATGAGAAGTGTGCTAGCATAAATAGTGTTGAATTCAATGTGTAGACCAAAGAAAAGTTCACATCAGAAATTGAATATTCCCTCCTGAAAAATTCTTATAAATTTTAACATTGACTCATGGAATGACTAACAATTTTTAAACCTTTGTCCATGTAAATAAATTACAATATTTCTTTTCTTTTCTTTTAAACTCAACAATGATAAGGTTGTAAACGACTCCCTAGTAACGAATTTGATTTCAGTTGCTTGCAGGTACGGTAATAAGTACCTTCTGAGAAAATATTTAAGTCATTTTCCCATGTCCTAGAGCAGTTTTCTGAATCAAATATGGTTACTTAACGCTTTTGAAAGTATGTTCATGTATTAATTAAAAGGACTAAATAAGAATCAAAATTTTATTTTCTTGAGCAATTGGAGAAGTGCCCAGAATAAAGATGTAACCAACAAAATTAGCGAAATAGGGACTTGTCTAATAAAAGGACAATATCGATGCTCTACATTTTCACACTATTTTCTGATACATGTATAATACATGTAATAGTTCTGTAGCTATTAATAGTTTTATATCGCATTCTGTTGAATTACGATGTAATATCAATCAAGATGGCTGAGTGTGCAGATGAAGGATCATCTCTTGAATTTTGTTGGTTACATCCTTAATTCAGGCACCCCTTCAACTATATAATATAATATTTTATTATATTATATCCAAGGAAAATTAAACAAGACTTTGGGAAAACCAGTTTCTGAAATGAACTGAATATCAATGTGAAATTTGATTGTGAAGGTAGTAGATTGAAAATGTCAAACACTAGTCTATACATCTGAGAGAAACCTGATGCTGAATTATCGATAGCTCAAGACACAACAAAGTGGACAGTTAGAAGCTCAAGGGCCAGAGTAGGAACTATTCTAAGAAGTGCAGCCAGCATACCAACAAGCAAAACAATAATCGAAACTATTTTTTAAAGCTTTCTATTAGAATGAATAATCAATTTCATGCAAAATTAACTTTCACAGTTTAATTTATTTCTCTTCATAAATTGTATCTCTCTTATACCTTTCAACAATAAACACTCTTTTATTTAAATTTAAATCCTTCAGAAATATGAATTGGGTTATGGCAGAATTAAGAAACACAATGGGTCAGGATACACATCATGCATCTGTGAAATGACAATTGAAGAAGATGAAGATCTGATCCCACAGAAACTTTAATTGAAGATTAAATTCATAGATTTTGTGTGAAAGAGCTTCGATGCTCCTATTTTTTTGTAAATGTCAGTTGCATGCTACAATTTGATTGATATAATATTATTTAATTTATTAATAAGTTTTAAACAACTTATTTTCAATACGATTTTAATACCTATTTCAGTCAGAGGACATTTTCAAAATGTTGATGTGGTAGTATTATAATTTTGATATTTTTGAACTCAAAGGAATTAGATATCCTCCTGAAGGAAAGAGTATTTTCAACAATGAGCATGATGCTCCCCTTGGTTTCGTCCATGAATGTTAATGTGAAGTATTTCATGTTGCTTGTAAGAAGCATCTGCAGGGTATAATTTGATAACCATCTCAGAAAATAATATGAGTAATATTAATTTTCCATTAAACATTTTTTTTTATTTATATATTTTATGTCGCATCAACTACAAAGGTTATTAGCGACATCTACACAATAACATTACTTTTGTTCATGGAATGTTGAGACACTTTGGAAGGGACCATTCATATCACAATATTAACCTGTTTACACATTTTTCTTATATATCACTGTACAAGTTTATGCCCTTCAAAAACTTGAGAAATTGACTGAATGTATTCTTTAATACTCTGTTCTTTAATACTCTTGTATGTGTTCTTTAATAATCTGTTCTTTAATACTCTTGCCATGTCATTATTGACACCATGTCTTGTCTGGTCGGCCTCAAACCTGGGGCACAGAAATAGATGATTAATGTACATAGAAACATTCCACACATTACTCATAACAGCCATTTTTCTGGAGATCAGATGGGCAGATGTGAGCTGGGTGTGATCTATTCTGCATCTAGTTAACACTACATAGTCAGCTCTGCAAAAGGATGTGGCTGGATTATAACCCTCGTATTCACATATACTTCTTAATTTGCAGAGCGCATTGTTGTTCCATTCCTGCCTGTCCAATTCTTGTAATTTTCTCTTGATGCAGTTGTAATAGTCCTGTGTTATTATGAGATTGCTTCTTTTATAACTTCATATAACATTCTATACAAATAAACATTTTTTTTAACCATCTCATTTTTCTGTTTTGTTATTGTATATTATGTACTATTTTACAAACTATTGGCATTATAAATTACAAATAAATAAAATCTAAAGAAAATAAGATCTGGAAATACTCTCTTCTTCCATCTACATGTTCTAATAAATTTCAATTTTCCAACTGTACACTATGTTTTTATATTTTGGGTTCTTCTTTAACTCTTAGCATGAATTTAAAATTCTTATGAGACCAAGGTGAGGACCACAATATTTTTGTACATGAACATTAAGGGCAACTGTTTAACAGAGATGTTTTTTAGAATTTAACACATTGAAAATAGTAGTTGGGATTATCTTGAGATGAACATTACCTATTGAATTTTGTCTGATGAATGGAAATTGTCTTGGCATGAATGGATTTTGTCTGCAATGGATTTTGTTTATGGTAGGTAAGTTCATTTCGGTGTCCTCATTTAAAAATTTATGAAACTCTAGAGACTAATTATTGTAACTTTGGATGTCTATGCACATCCGCTGAAACTCTCTTGAATGAGCAATGATCTTCAATTGTGATATACACTTGTTCTCGTGAATTTGTGATGATAGAGAATTCTAAACTGGCGCGCTTATTTCTCCCCGCCCTCGATATTCATCTGTATAGGAGCGCAGCGAAGTGGTGAAAATCGGTATCAACGGGAGCTCGGTTGCCGTGCGCAGAAACATGCGCAGTGTGTGGTGCGGTGGAGGGTTTCAACGACATCTTGTGGAACAGTAGAATTTAGCTTGTGAAATCTGTGGGATTCTCGATCATCCGATGTTTATGGTGTAGTTTAACCATCAAGAAACTTCAAGATGTCGACTAGCAGTCAAAAGCTATCAACAACAGAGCGGGTTATCAAAAGTAAGTGAGGATCTGTTACAGAAAGTGGTTGCTGTGTCCTGTACCAGTAGGATTGATTTTCCCAGTCGCCATTTCTATTGATTGCTTCACAAATTTTGCCGTAATTTCTCATTATATTGTACCGGTATTGAACAGACATGCCTTTGGTTAACAGACAGAACATACACAGACCGGTTGCTGTAGTTTTTGTGTTGTGTTTGACATCGATACCTAGAAATATATTTGAAATATTTCGCCTGTCGCTTTAGAGGTTGGGTCGTGCGAAATATACATTGACAATTACAAACATTGAAATATATTTTTTTATAACTTTAACATATTCGATCCTAACGTTAATACGATTTTATTGTGGTATACGTAGTGTCAGCAGTTTCTGCTGTTGTACACCAGTCAGCCATTGGAGGGTAATATTCGTATGTTTACATCTTAAGATTATGTAAACATTATAGGAAAAAATATTGTATCATATGATTTTGCTGTTACATGTAGCGTGTAAATATAATTGTTTGTTGCATTGTGTATTATACTTGAATTTTTGTCTGAAAATGTAGTGTGACATACTGGGTGCAGTTTTATACTTTGACAGGAAGGGAGGTGTGGTTGACACATGTCATAGTGCTTCTTATGCCTGTGAATTCCATTTATAGTTCTCGGAGACCATCTAATTTGCTTAAATATATTAATTATGAAGCAAGACACCGAAGGTCGCACCATACACCTTTTGCATCTGTGATGTAATTGTAAATCCGTCTTGAATAATTAATGCGAATTTGCTCGTCTCAAATCGTAAGAGTGCGAAGAAATGAATTAATTTTATTTTGAAGAAAAATCCTTAAAAGTTTTATTGACCATTATGTTTTGCAAACATGGAAGCTTAAGCAGGATCGGGAATAGAGAAGTGATGTCCATCTGCTTAGATGCTAGTCCATTCAATTATCTGCATTTATGTACGATGTAATTAGCACTGATGAGAACTGTTATAAATGTCAACTATAGTCGTATGTTATGTGCAGGTGAGGGTTATCTCGCTATTTATGCTGCGAAGTGTTGTGCGCGCGCGTTCATATATACATGAATGAAATGCACTGTTACGTTTCAGTGTGAATTTTGCGAATGGATATAAATTAAGAGAAAATACGTTAACCGTTTCTTTCTATGCAGATAGTAGATAAAACACGGTGTGTCAGTATAATCCATATTTCGTTGGGTTTCAATATTCGGATATTTGCTGTGATGTGTATTGTATATATGTACAAATTTTGGTTTGCCCTGAATGTAGCATGATCGCGTGTCGAGTTCCGCCGACACTGTTGGAGTCGCGCGTCACCACGGCAGATACCCGTGGGCATCGCGCACGACTGACCTTGACCTGGCGCGTATTTACGAAATGTTGAGCAGCGAAGACGCATGTCTTTGGAATCGTGTCGGGGATGACGTGTTTTTTTTTGTTTTTTTGTAATCTTGTACTATTTATTTTATCTACGTATCATATGTGCGTTCCAATAATGGCTAATAAATATCCCCGTTGTCTAGGGAAGATGGCGCCCAAAGGTAATTTTGAAAAGAATTGTAGTGCTCTTGAAATATGGTTTTAGAGCAGGAGTAACTTTGCGACATCATTAATGTGCTGCCATTTTACTCATCTGACTCGATTTTGAAATCAGCAAAGCAATATTACGTGAACTATTCTCTCCGTAGTTAGGTACTTTATGCCACTTATTCGGAACATCTTTGAAAACGATGGTGTTGGTTCATAAAGGCATTTTGCCTCTACCCTGTGTGTAACATGTACTTCTAATACACATGTTCATTATTTTGAAATGGAAATGTGTTTTAATTTGCGGAGAGCCATTGAAGCGT